GCCTGCTGTGTTCATCCAGCTCTACACCTTGTTAATTAGAAAATATAATCCAGTTTCCCTTTAAATTTGGGGTTATCAACAGTGTAGGGTGGACACGGTTTAAGAATTGAAGGTCAATCTGCTAAATGAAATAATAAAAACATTTCTGTGAAAAAATTCTGAATTGATCTCAACTCTGGTCTGCAAATTAAAGGGGAGGTAGTGTATAGTGATACTGTCACTGGACTAGTCACCCAGAACCACAGGCTAATGGCCTGAGGAAACAAGTTTGAATCCCACCATAAGAAATAGGAGCAGGAGGAAGCCATCAGGCCCCTCAACCCTGCTCTGCCATTCAGTAAGATCATGGCTGGTCTTTTTCATGGACTTCGCTCCACTTATCCATGTGTTCACCAAAACCCTTAATTCCTTCACTGTTCAAAGCCCTATCATTCACTGCTTCACTGGGCAGGGAATTCCACAAATTGACAACACTCTGGAGGGAGAAGTTCCTCCTCAACTCAGTCCTGAATCTGCTCCCTCTTATTTTGACACTATGCCCCTAGTTTTATTTTCACCTGTGAGTAGAAACAACCTGCCTGCTACCATAGCAGCAGGTGCAAGTTAAATTAACAGAAAGGGAAAACTCTTAGAAAAAAACTCATCGGGTTTTTAAATACCCTTTAGGAGACAGAGATAGAAAATTTACAACACTTGAAAGAGGCCACTGTGTCTGCACTGGCTGAATACATTAGCCACTCAGTCTAGTCTCACTTAGCAGCACCTGGGCTGTAGTCTTGCAGGTTACAGCATTTCAGGGGCAGATCAGATTCCTTTTGAAATGCATTGAGGGCTCAGACCTTCACACTTTAGGTGAGAATATTTTTTCCTCATTGCCCCTGTAATCCTTCTGCCAATCACCCTAAATCCATGCCCCTGGTAACTGACCCCTCCACCAGGGGCAACAGGATCTCTGAATGTGCAGATCACGTACCACTCTACAGACATCCCAGCAGGGTGATGGCAGATTCTAATGAATTAGAATCATTTACTCATAGGCCTAAATAAAAACTGAAAGAAATTCAGATATTGTTAATCAGAAACAAGAACAGAAATTGCTGGAAAAGCTCAGCTGGTCTGGCAGCATCTGTGGAGAAGCAGTGTTAATGCTTCAAAACATGGTTCTTCTTCATACGACTCAAAACATGATCTCACTTTTTTTCCTCTCCACAATTGCTGCCAGATCTGCTAAGCTTTTCCAGCAATTTCTATTTTTGTTACTTATAAGGACTGTTGTTCAATGCTTGATGAAAATTCTCATATCAAATTTAATTTTTGATCTTGCGCCTCTGACATATGCAGATTAGCTCGTAATATGGAGATAGTGGCAATGGCATGGGCTCATACTTCCAAGGCCCAGGCTGCCTATTCTGGGGATACAGCTTTAAATCACACATCGGCAGCTGATGGAAATTACATTCACGTGATAAATTGAAACTTAATCTTAGTAATAATGACCTTGATAACTGAACATCATTACTGAGATCAGTTTTCGATTTACCAGTTGAATTGTTCCTGGGGATTCGGTAGTGCATCTGATGCCGGATCAAAACGTTGCATGTAATTTGCTGCTTTTCAATTATTGGGATTTTGGGAGGCAATGGTATTGTAGTAATGTTGCTGGACGAGTAATCCAGAATTCCAGGCTAATGTTCTGAGGACACGGGTCTGAATACCACTGTGGCACATTTTGAAAACTCAACGGGAATTTGGAAAGTTGACCATGATAACTGCTATTGATTGTAATTTTTAAAAAATTGGCTTTTGATTCATGTCCTTAGGAAGGAGATCTGCGTCCTTACCTGGTCTGGCCTACATATGACTCCAGACCCACAGTACTATGGTTGACTCTGAAATGATCTAGCAAGCCACTCAAAGTTGTCATCAAACTTGTACAGTGCTCTGGCCAGACAACATCTCAACTAACTGTGTGCTCTGCTGGTCACTGTGAAATACATGGGGAAGCGATGGCCTAGTAGTATTATCGCTGGACTGTTAATCCAGAGACCCAGACAATGTTCTGGGGACCTCGGTTTGAATCCTGCTGTGGCAGATGGTGGAATTTGAATTCAATAAAAATCTGGAATTAAAAGTCTAATGGAGATCATAAAACCATTGTCAATTGTCAGGAAAAACCCATCTGCCTCATTAATGTCCTTTAGGGAAGGAAACTGCCATCCTTACCTGGTCTGGCCTACATGTGACTCCAGACCCACAGCAACGTGGTTCACTCTTAACTGCCAACTGGGCAATAAATGCTGCCTAGCCAGCGATGCCCTCATCCAATGAATAAATAATAAAAAAGAACAACACAAGAGCAGGATGCAGTGTGGATAAAAGTTTTCATCCTAGCTTTAATTGAGTAATAAGGGAAGACTGGAGAAACTTGAAGTTTTCAACCTGAAATGAAGTGGTCCTGTAGACAGGTATTAGTTAAAGAAACAGAAAAGACAAATCTGGAATATTGCTATTAGCTGAAAAAATACGACAAAGTAGATATGTACAAACTAGTAAAAGGCACATTTTACGTCAAAATTTTTATTTCTGATTTTTTTTAACAGTAAGAAAAGGCAATCTATCCAATTCAGTTCATCAGAATCCCTTACACCAATGTTTCCTTTTTCCATTCTTGTCCATTAATTAAACCCTTTCCACGTAAAGTTATTTTTCCAATCTTCCTTTCTCCATAAACCACCTTTCTAATCCACTTGGCCTCTAAACTCCCATTTCTCCAATTCCCTCTTTCTCTTCAATTCTATTTCCCCATAAATTCCCTTTACAATTCCCCTTTCTCTAAAATAAACTCCCCTGTTACTCTAAAACTCCAATTCTCTATTCAATTGCTTTCCCTGAATTCATCTTCTGAGCTGGGATCATAGACCAAAATCTATATTCCACCAACACTTCCAAGGTTAATACGAGAGAAAACCTGGCAAGACCCCTGCTGAAATGTTAGTCTTTGGTTTTTATTCATATAGTGGACGTGTGTATCACTGGCTGGGTAAGCACAGCCCATCCCCAGTTGCCCTGGAGAAGATGATGGTGATCTGCTTGGGGGCAAAAAGGGACAGGGAATCTGTGCTGGTCCAGACACTAAAGCCTACTTCCCACAAATGAAGAAAAAAATTTCAACGTAAAAATTAATTAAAGATGAGGATATCAAGCACTGGGGCCCATGACTATTTCCTTTGGCAGCTTGTTGCATTGTGAGATTGTTTTTAAAGGAAAGTTGAAAATGCCTTGGAAACGCAAAGTCGTTTTATTTTAGATAGAATCATCATAGAATCCCACAGGATGGAGGCAGGCCATTCGGCCCATCGAATCCACACCAATTCTCCGAAGAACATCCCACTTGGACCCACCCTACTCTGTAACCCTGCATTTCCCATGGCTAATCCACCTACCCTGCATATTCCTGGACACAATGGGCAATTTAGCACAGCCAATCCACATTACCTGCACATCTTTGGACTGTGGGAGGAAACCCGAGCACCACTGTCATGTAAATGGCTAAGACCATAGGACTTAGGAGCAAAAGCAGGCCATTCGGCCCAGTGAATCTGCTCTCCCATTCAATGAGATCATGGTTAATCCGATAATGCTTAACTCCACTTTCAATATCACCCTTGATTCCCTTACCAATTAAAAAATCTGACTTTCTCAGCCTTGCATATATTTAATCATGCATCCTCTGCAGTAAAGAATTTCACAGATTGACTACCCTCAGCAGAAACTGGTGTTCTGTTCCCTGTTCCCCATAATCCTCAATCCCTTTCCCATTGAGAGCCGAAACTGGTGTTAAGTCCCTTCTCTCCCTGATCCTCAATTCCCTTATCAAGTCCCATTTCTTCCATCACTCCTGTCCACGTGGACCCAGTTTGCTTCCACTTTTCAAGTTTGAGTCAATGCTTGGTTGAGGAGGTGGGAAGAGAACAGAACTCCCAGAATGCACTGGGGGATGGGCGGGGATTACTGGCACATGCGCGCTTCGCCCCGTACGTTGGCCAATCAGAGAGCAGCAGCGGGACGTCACGCAGGGCCCGGGTCAGGCGAAGGAGTCGGAGCAGCGCGCGCGCGCGGGGGGAGCCGGGGAAACGGCCTGTTTCACTCTTCTCCATCGGTTTGACTCGACACCTTTGCATTCTCAAAAACCGGCTCCAGCGTCTCTGTTCTTTTGTTTTCGCTCCTCTCCGATTTACCGGCGAGGTTCCATCAGTGTGGGGTCCGCCCGCCGGACGCCGGCCTCTCGCACGACCGTTGGTCCGCGTACGCGTCGACAGCCTCGCTGATTGGACGGCCCTCGATGCTAGTCTGGTCGCTGATTGGTTGCTGCTCGAAACCCTTGCGATTGGACGATATTCCGGGCGGACGAGGATCGTTGATTGGGTGTCGCCTTGAGCGTGCTCACCGATTGGTGGACCCGGAACCGTGTTTTGATTGGTCGTTGTTTTAACTTCCCGTTTGCTGATTGGCTAACGAAGCCGTGCCTCCATTGGCCGACGCTGAACTGATTCATTGGTTGGTTGGTAGCTCCAGCGGTTCGTTCGTTGATTAGTGGACGCTGACCCGTTCTCTGATTGGATGACGATGGCGCTGCTTTGTGTCCTAGTTCTCTTGCTCTCTCTGAACAGCGCAGGCGCCGTGGAGGTGAAGCGACCCCAGGGGGTCTCCCTATCTCGTGAGTAATCTCCATCAACAAACCGTCTTGTGCAATGCTAACAATGCAATAATATCAAGGGTCTGCATTAGTGACAAAGCAACATGACACTTATGCGTCGTGCTTCTAATGATCCAGTAATCCAGGTGAAATGATGTCCTAATAGCTGTAGCCACTGTACACCTATAAAGGTATTGGAATACAGACATGTATTCGTGTAGCAGACCTGTGCATTATTCCTAAATTTGGCAGCACAAGAGATCCAGCGCAACCAATACGTACATTATATTGCAAAATCTTAATATGTAGAGCAACAAGGCACTACATGGGCTATTCCACTTAGAAACAGCCTGGTAGGCTCTACCAGTCCATACTTCCTGTTTGTGCTGCACTTGAGGTCTTTCCCATCTTTTCTCGTCTAAGTTACCTTCTTGTTTATCTAGCATCACTTCACTTTTGTTTAGTTAGCCATGTCTTTTTCAGGAGGAGAGTTCCAAAGACTCAAGCCCTCAAAGTAAAAACTTCCCATCTCTTTTATATGGGTGACCCTTTTAGACGGGTGACGCTTTTAGACATTGACCCCGGTCCTAGATTCTATCATAGAGGAAACATCCTCTTCACATGCAGTCGTCAACTTCCCTAAGGAGTCTGTGTGTTTCAAATAAAATTACCTCTTGACTCTTAAGTTTAGTGACACCAATCCCACAAGTGACTTCTTGTTTTTAATGTTTCCCATCTCTACCCAACTGTTTCCACATCCTGATTTCACCGGAAGTTAGATCATCTCTTTCTATTGCGCTAATGTCATCATTAACTAACAGGGCCGCCCCTCCACATTTACCTTGCTTCCTGTCCTCCTCAAATGTCCAGTACCCTTCAATATTCTGATACCTTTCCATGTTAACCTGCAGCCATATTTTTTGTAATTGCCAGCAGATCGTACTTATTTCTGTTTGTTCATTTGGATACAGAATCTTTAAATTTATCCTTTTTATATTGTTTTGCTACCCCTAGCCTTATCTGTTGATTTACTCTTGAACTTTGACTTTCTAACCTTCCTGTCACCTTCTTGTTAACATTTCCCTTATTAACACCTTTCTCTTTTGCCTTGTGTCTACTCTTTCACTTATGACAATCCTGTCAACTTATTTAGTTGCTTCCTTCACACTACACCAGAGCAAGCAAGGTTCAGGTGGAGACCATCCTATTGGTTATAAATCCCACATTTCCCAGTATTGCTCTTATGTCCCGTGATCCAAAAACCACTTCTCGTCTTTGAGCCATACGTTCATCTCTCTAACTATAAAACAAAATTAGATTTCCAGAATAAAATTATGACTCTCTTTCTCACCAGTTGCCAGCATTCAGACAAGTTGACTTTAAAGTAAAAATCTTTGTGCTACTAATTTTTAAGCAATAATTTATCCCTTTCATTGCAGATCGGCACTTCTATGATGAGACCAAACCATTTACGTGTCTGGATGGCTCCAAAACCATTCCATTTGATGAGGTGAATGATGACTACTGTGATTGCAAGGATGGCTCGGATGAACCAGGTCAGAATCGTAGACAGTTCTGAAACTGTCAAGGCAGCTCCTAATTAACAGAGGCCACGTCATTACTTTACAGACCACCTTTGTGGGGGTGGGGAAAATTGACAAGTGTCCCTTCCTTAGGGTGGCGGAGTTCAAAACCAGGGGACATATTTTTAAGGTGAGAGGCAAAAGATTTAAAAAGGACATGAGGGACAACTTTCTTACACAGAGTGGTTGGACCAAAGGGTCTGTTTCCATGCTGTGTGGCATTCTGACTCTTAAGTGTTAACAGCAAGTAGTGCCTGTGGAGGAAGAACCCTGGAATTAATGATGCAGGTCGTGGAGCCGAAACATTAACCCTGTGTTTCTCTATTCTCGGCTGCAGCCTGAACTGACCTGTTTCCAGCAGCATAGCCTCCTGTTCCATTACATTTGCAGCACCTGCAGTGTTTTGCTTACTGATATGTATTTCTTTCTTTTTCAAGTAAGACAAAGTAGAAAATTATGTACGTTTTTCTACTAAACTAAAAGCAGAGAACCATGGATGTTGGCAATCTGAAATACAAACTGAAATTACTGGAGATCAGCAGTTCTGCCAGCAATTGTGGAGAGGAAATCAGTTTATGTTCTGAGTCGTATGAAGAAGAACCATATTTTGAAGCATTAACTCTGTTTCTGTCTCCCCAGGTACTGCCAGACCTGCTGAGCTTCTCCAGATTTCAGTTTTATTTTAAATTTTTCTACCTTGGCAATAGAGATGTTACTTTTTTTTTGTCTAAGCATCTAGGTTAATGAAGCGCTGGTACTCCGGATGTGTGTGCTATTTTAATGTAGTAATTAACCTGTTGAAAATAAGGCCATAGGAATTTTCCAAGCATGTGTTAACAAGAGGAAAAGTAACTGCACAGATTTTTAATCATGAATTATGATTTCATTGAGTTATCTTACTGAAGGCAAACTTGTTTATATAGTGCTGTCGACTCCTCCCCCTATTCTGTGTTGAATTGAAGTTTGTTAATATTACCAAACGCCTCAAATGGCTGAAATTGAGCTATGTTTATTGCAGTGGAATTACAAGACTGGACCAGTTTACTGATTGATTGCTCCTGACTGAGGCAAATTAGGCTTAAGAACAATAGGAATAGGAACAGAGCATTCAGTACTTTTGAGCGTACTCACCCAATCAGTACAATCATCCATGATCTTCCACACTGACCTCTTCTGCTTTGTTCTGTGATTTCTTTAATTGTCCGAAAAATAAAAATACCTCAACCCTTTCCTCGAATATTGAGGATCCACAGCTTGCTGGGTTAGGGAACTCAAAAGGTGCGCAGCTCTTCGAATGAAGCAATTTCTCCCTATCACAGTCCTAAAAGAACAGATTGGTCATATTGTGGAGTCTTGAGTCGCCCCTGCCAGTGAAGTCATTGCCCCAATATCTATCCTATTGAGATCTTCACAAATTTTATTTCAACGAGTGTCTCTCTCTCTCATTCTTGTGGTGTGTGGGGAGTATAGACCTAGGCTATGCAATCTTTGCTCAGAGGTTCCTGCCAGTTGAGTGAATCTCTTGCCAGATTTGTGTGTGGCTCAGTACATGTAAGCGGGAAGAAGTCGTCTTGTACCTCTTCACATCACCACAATATCCTAGAGACTGGCTGGTGGAGAAGGTTTGCACACTGTCAAAGAACAACAAAGAACAGTACAGCACAGGAACAGGCCCTTTGGCCCTCCGAGCCTGCGCCGACACATTTTACCCTTCCATGCTTAAACTGTCTTCACCCACAGGATCTGTATCTCAGTATTCCCTTCCTATTCATGTATTCATCCAGGTACTATTTGAATAATGCTGTTACGTCTGCTTCCACCACCTCCCTCTGGCAGTGTGTTCCTGGCACTCACCACCCTTTGTAAGAAAAATGTGCCTCGCACATCTCGTGCAAACCACACCGCATCCCGCCCCCTGAACCTGAGTCCCCTAGTAATTGATCCCTCCACCCTGGGGAAAAAGGCCTCATACTTTCCACTGTATCCATACCATTCACAATCTTATAAACTTCTATCAGGTCACCCCTCGACCTCTTGCATTCCAGTGGGGAAAAAACCCTGTCTGTCCAACCTTTCCTCATAGCTAAAACCCCCCATACCAGGCAACATCCTGGTAAGCCATTTCTGTATCCTCTCCAAAGCATCCACATCCTTGTAGTGTGGTGACCAGAACTGTACACAATATCCTTTCCCTGGCTACCCTCTTGCTTTTTATATATGTACAAAAAAACCTTGGGATTCTCCTTAATCCTCTTTGCTAACCACCTTTCATGACCCCTTTTAGCCCTTCTAATTCCTTATTTAAGTTCTTTCCTACTTTCCTTTTATACTTCGAGGGCTTCATTAGTTCCACCCTCCTCAACCTTTCGTATGCTTCCTTTTTCTTTTTGACCAAGGTCAAAACGTCCCTGGTCATCCAAGGTTCATGTAACTTGCCATACTTATCCTTGATTCTCGCAGGAACGTGCTGCTCCTGAACTCTTACCAACTGCCATTTGAAATACCCCCACGTCTGATGTGGATTTACCCTTAAATAGCTGTCTCCAATCAAAATTCTTCAGTTCCTGCCTAATATTTTTGTAGTTCACCTTCCTGCAATTTAAAACACCTTCACATAAGGACTGCTGTTATCTCTATCCATGCATATCGTAAAACCTATGGTATTTATGGTCACTACTACCGAACTGCTGCTCCAGTGAAATTTCACTCACCTGGCCGGGCTCATTTCCCAAAATCAGGTCCACTATAATCCCTCCCCTGGTTGGACTGTTTACATACTGTGTCAACAACCACTCCTAAATGGTCCTTACAAATTCTGCCCCATCCAAGCCTTCAGCGTGAAGTGAGTCACAGTCAATATAGGGGAAGTTAAGAATCACCACGACAACAACCCTGCTGTTTTTACATCTTTCCAAAATCTGTGTACATCTTCTCTCCCCTGTCTTCTGCTGACTGTTGGGAAGCCTGTAGTGTACCCCAGCATTTTGATTTCACGTTTCCTATTCCTGAGTTCTGCCCATATTGCCTCATTGCATGCGTCCTCTGATGTATCTTCCCTCTGTACAGCTGTGAGATACTCTTTTACCAGTAATACATCTCCCCACCCCTTTCACCTGAAACGTCTAAATCCTGGGAGATTCAGCTGCCAGTCCTGTCCCTCTTTCAGCCAAGTCTCTGCAGTCGCACTAATGTCACCGTTCCAAGTTCTAACCAAAGCTCTAAGTTCATCTACTTTGCCTATTATGCTTCTTGCATTGAAACACATGCATTTCAGACTATCTGCTGTTCTTTCCAAAAGTGTTTCCCTGCCAGTTCTTGTTCTTAGTCATGTTTGCCTTGCTTTGTACCTCTCCCTCAATTTCTGCATCTGTTGCCCTACTCATCTGGTTCCCTTCCCCTGCCACACTAGTTTAAACCCTCCCAAACCACTCTACTAAGAGTCCCCGCCACCCAAGGACACAGTCCTGGTCCTGCCCAGGTGTAACCTCTCCCAAAACTGTTCCCAATGCTCCATGAATCTGAAACCCTCCCCTCTCACTATCTTTTCAGCCACTTATTCATCCTATATATCCTGCTGTTTCTACTCTGACTATCTCGTGGCTCTAGTAGGAATCCTGAGAACTACCTTCAAGGCCCTACATTTCAACTTTTTCCCTAGTTCTCTCCATTCTGCTTTTAGGACCTCACCCCTTTTATTTTTTAAAAACTGTACCGTTAGTACTAATATGTACCACAAGCACTGGATACCCACCACACCCCCCAAAAAAAAGAAAAAAAACTGAATGTTCTGCAACCACTCCAAGACATCCAGGACCCTAGCACTAGGGAGGCAAATCACCATCCCGGACTCGTGTTTGCGGCCGCAGAAACGTCTTTCTATTCCAATTACGGTTGAATCCCCTGTAACTATAGCATTTCTATGCCTGTTTCTCCCTCCCTCTGCAGCAGAGCCAACCATGGTGCGCTGAATTTGGCCGAGAGGCCATTCCCCTCAACAGGATCCAAAACAAGATATCTGTTTTGCGGGGCAACAGCTACAGGAGGTTCCTGCACTGCCTGCTTAGCTCTCCTGCTCTGCCTGTGGTGTCTGAGTCTGTGGAGTGAGCCTGTCATTCATTATCCTTTTTGTTCCTGTTTGCATTTCATGTTACTGCAGCATCAATCTGTGATTTGCCACGTTGTTTCTTCACTGTCTCGTGTTCATTTTGCAACCCAAAGGACAAACCACAATTTTCTGACTAGCTCCAAGGAGCATGTGGTTCGTAAAGTGGACCCAGTGGGAAAAATACTACTGGTTCCCGTTTATTTCCCAAGCATATTGCACATCCTGACAAATAATATTTATATAACTTTTGATATATATACATTGTTCAAAAATTTTAAACACTTGCAATTTACCAATATAGTTCTCTCTGCCAACTGTCTGCACACATTTCGGCTTTTGCTTCCACAGGTCGTGCTTTCTCAGACCCACATGCTTACTTTTCTATATTATTTCTGGAACTTCTGTTCTTGCCTTTTTACTGCCAAGCTAACCTTAATGTTGCCTTTCCAATCTCCCAGAAGAGTGTTTTCTCTTCTCTCGGCCATTTTGTCTTCATAAGCTTTGGTTTTCCTGCATGTGTGTCTTTTTGTTAAAGGCTTCCATTGTTGGGGTTTATTGGGTGAAAGCAGTAAACTGTAGCTCCTCCAGCAGATATAAAAGACCCCAGGGTGCTATTTGATGAGGAGCAAGTGTGTTCTCCATGGTCACCTGCTAATATTTATGTTGTAACCAGCATGACGAGAAACAGTGTAATGTTGCTGTTTGTGGGACCTTGCTGCACAAATTAGTTGTTGCATTTCCTACATTATAAATGGGGCTGCACTTTGGGAGTAGTGCTTTGGCTTTAAAGTGCTTTGGGAGCTCCTGAGGTCATGAAGGCGCAGTATAAATGCAGTTCTTTCTATCTACATCAACCTCCTGCCTTGTATCTCAATTTGCATTGCATTCTCATTGTGCCCTGCTTTATTACCAACTCGTATCATTCAACACGCTTTTGAAATCCCTGAATTTGCCTTCCAAAAAAAAATGATTCGGTTTGTCCATGCCCTCACGCAGCACAACTGGCTGTATGGCCAGCTCTTGCTCTCTCTGATTTCTTCTTTGTTTCTTCTATATAGCGCATGCCAAGATTTCCTGGGCTGTATAAGTGACAGTAGTGGCATTGACTGACTCAGATTTCTCTCTTTCGCCAGGAACGTCTGCCTGTCCGAATGGTAGCTTCCACTGCACTAACGCTGGACACAGACCTCGTTACATTCCATCTTCCCGTGTGAACGATGGCATTTGTGGTAAGACGTCTTCTCCAAGGGTGGTACAGTACGATCAATAGTGACCTGCCCTCTTGCGAAGGGGCTAGCCTGTTGATGTGTGGGAATTTATTTCGCCTTGCTGTGTTTAATTTTTTTTAGTAATGGGGCTTTGGCACTGCTGTACGATAACACACTGTTTATCTGCATACTGATCACAAGGTGGGTGGGGGGGTGGTGTAGTGGTGTATTCTTACTGGGGCTTGTAATCCAGAGATCCAAACTAATCTTCTGGCGATTTGAGTTCAAAGCCTATCACAGCAATTTAAATTCAGTTGACAAAATCTGAAGATCAAATCAGTAATAGTGACCGTGAAACTTGTCATTTTGTTTTTGTTTGTTTAAAAAAAAAACCCATCTGGTTCACCTAATGTCCTTTCTAAGGATGGAAATCTGCTGTCCTTTCCTGGTTTGGCCTGCACGTGACTCCAGACCCATGGCCACGTGCTTGACTCTTAAACGCCCTCTGAAAAAGCCGAGCAAACCGCTCCGTTCAAGAATAATTACGTACGGACAACAAGTGTTTGCCTCACCGGCAATGTCCACGTCCCATCGGAGAATAAAAGGAGGAAAATAAATACCCCACTGGGGTTGTGTTGTGTCTCCTTTCATTGTCAATTCTGTAGCACGTGACCCAGCTGCTGGGGCTGCCTGCCTTGTTCCAGAAAATGATTCTGTCTGGGAAGACTTGCAATCGCATCAATGTTCTGGCATAAATCAAACTTTGTGAATTTAGCTTCCTCCTTCAGGTGCCGTCAAAAAAACTAGTCTGACACATTTTGACGGGTGAGGGTTTCTAGGCTTAGTTGGATTTTAATCCTTTGAATTAAAAAGAAAGCATTGCTGATGCTGGAAATCTGAAATCTATTGCTCAGCTCTACAGCTGTTAGTACATTGCCCCACTAGAGGCCAGAGGAATTAGAGGTTAACTGACTTGAACAACTTTACACAAAAAAAAATTAAAAATACAGTTGCCAGGGATCTTTACTGAATGATGATTACTCATCATTAACTACTTTAAGGATAGGTTTGCATCCCAAGAATCAACAAAAATGCTGGAGAAACTCAGCAGGCCTATCAACATCCATGTGGAGAGAAACAGAGTTAATGTTTTGAGTCCAATAACTCTCCTTCAAAATGTAAGTCATAGAGATGTACAGCACAGAAACTGACCCTTCTGAAATAAAAACAGAAAATGCTGGAGAAACTCAGCAGGTCTGGTAGCATCTGTGGGCTGGGGCTATTGTCCCTCGAGCGTTGGAAGCTGAGGAGTGACCTTATAGAAGTTTGTAAAATCATGACGGGCATATAAAAGGTGAACAGCCAAGGTCTTTTCCACAGGGTAGGGGAGTCCCAAGCTAGAGGGCATAGGTTGAAGGTGAGAGGGGAAAGATTTAAAAGGGATCTAAGGGGCAACTTTTTCACGTAGAGGGTGATGCATGTGTGGAATGAGCTGCCAGAGGAGTTGGTGGAGGCTGGTACAATTACAATATTTAAGAGGCATCCGGATGGGTATATGAATAGGAAGGGTTAAGAGGGATATGTGCCAAATGCTGGCAAATGGCACTAAATTAATTTAGGATATCCGATCAGCATGGACCAGTTGGACCGAAGGGTCAGTTCCTGATGCACCTTTGCTAGTAAAATTGACAGACTTGGTTTAAATACCCCAAGGTTGCTGAGCACTCTTTCTCATTGTCTTGCTTTGAACATCACACTCATTGCATAAGTGCACCATTTCTTCCTTTTCACCTTTTCATAGATTGCTGTGACACGACAGATGAATACAACAGTGGTGCTTCATGTGAAAATACTTGCAAGTGAGTATAACCCGTGTTCATCTGTCATTGCTGTTGACGGCGTAAGAGAGAATTTCAGATGACTGCATGAGTGCTACATTTATTTGAACAGAGAGCTCAATTTTAGACACTGGCTTGGACATACCGCCACTCATTGTTGTTGGGATACATCAGCCAGTATACATTTTAAACCAATTAACTGTACCAGTTGAATCCTTGTCAAGATGAGATCCCTTGCTGATGATTCAGATTCATATCTCTGTGAAGTGCAAACTGATTCTCCGTTTTCCCTTCCCGTCCCACTCCCAGCTGTCCTTCCTGTCAGCTGCTACATTCTTGCCCTTGCTGTCTGCCTGTTCTCACCAGGATGTTATTTGCAACTCTCCCAAATTCGGTGCAAATGATTCATCGCAGAATTGTAATGGCACAGGAGGCCATTCAGCCTGTTGTGTAAGCCCCAGCTCTCTGAATGAGCATTGCAACTGGTTGCCGATCTCTTTCCTTCTCCCCATAATCCTGCACATTGCATCTGTTCAAACAATCATCTGATGTCCTCCTGAATGCCTGATATGTTAGGAATGAAAAAGTTTTTTGTTCCTTAAACTTGGGGATCATTTTGTCAGATGCTGTATATTTTATCTTGTAACCTTTTTAATATGTTCTTCGTTTCAATCAAAATGAGTAATTGTTTCATTAAAGGCACTAGAAGCCCCAAGAGGGACATTTTTGTTTCAGCAACAAAGGAGCCCCACCAGGCTGTTGAACAGCTTATTATTTTATTTATACATGTATTTATATCACTGACAGAAGTTGCCTTAGCGTCAGGATTGTGAAATAGTCTTTGATTTCCGATTGGCTGTTGACCCTCCCAGTGATGTGACCAAGTGACCTGGCACAAATGAAATTTGCCTTATGAGTCTCCCTGGATGTCTGAAAGTTGGATTTTATAAGCAAAATCCAAATAAGATTCTTTGAAGTATAGCTTTCCCTGTATAAAAAGATGGTTTATGTCCAGAAGCACTCTTCGTGTTTATGTTCTCCCCCTGTGGCCCTTCATTTCAGTCAGCTAACTTTCCAGAGTCTCCATTGTTTCTGTATTGCCTGATGTGATCAAGATGCATTCTGAAGAAGCTCGAAACCCTGAATGTGAAACCCTTCCCTCTTCACATGTTTGTGATGTCTCAGCCAATGTTGTCCCTTCCTTCCCTGAAGTGTGTTGATTCCTTGTTTGGAACATCTGGGTAGTTTGCCTTTCTGGCTTTTGCTGTCTGGGTCTTGACGGGTTTCAGCCAACTTATCAACTGATGAGCGTCAAGACTGTGCCTAGTTCTGCCCTGTGTTACTGACAGACTGAATAGGACCCTGGCTCTTTGGTTCCTTCCCTTCATCCCAGCTGACTGACATGAGAGTTTATTATAGCATCACTTCTATTCCCTTGGTTGAAATGAGCAAACTCTGTGCAGGTGAGCATTGTATTTGGACCATTCCTTGCCATGTTGCAGGGATGGGTTTTAGGGCATCCCTGATTCGAATAACTGAGTAAATGAATCACTAACTGTGTGGAACCATCAGGAGCATTGTCAGAAACTGGCAGTTGACGTGCTCCATTGAGTATATTAGCTTGGAGGTTAAGATTGGGCTTGTAATCTAGAGGCCTGATTGATAATTGGAGAGATCGCATTAAGACCTTAGCGAGACAGTTTGGTTAATTTAAATAAATCTTGTGTACCAACAAATAAAAATCTTGCATAAGTAATGGTGACCGCAAAACTATTGGCTTGTTTAAAAACCTCGGCTGATTGACCAATGATCTCTCGGGAAAGGAACTACCATCTTTACCAGGCTTGTAAATGACACCAGGCCCCAAGAACATGGTTGGCTTGTAACTGCCATCTACAATGGCCTCAACGGCAGGTCGTCACCACATTCCCAGTGGATATTGTGGATGGAATAGTCCATGCTGGTATCCCCAGTGACGGCTATGTCCCGCGAACGAATGATAAAGTTTTAAAGGAAAACAAATTGGAGAACCTGAAAGAAACTCCATTGGTGTTGGTGACCACTGCCTTTTGGAGCTGATAGCTCGGTAACTTTCCTGTGGTCTCCTTCTGTCTCTTGAGAATCGTAATCTATGCAATTGAACTGTTGTCCTCCTGTCCCATGAGCTGAAGAAATCTCTGTGCACTCTTTACCCACAAAACAGGGAACAAGGTCGCAAAGAGAAGGAAGCCTTGCAGAAAATGGCAGAAATTGCCAAGGAAGGATTCCGACTGAAACAGCAGCTCATTGAAGAAGCAAAGAGAAGTAGGGAAGAGAAACAGGTTTGTCCATTACTCTGCAACAGTGCTGTTTATTAGTAAGTGGGTAACCTTTTTGGGACGTAGATGTTTAAATGCTATTTGAAGAGTGGTATTCCAAAGTAAACAACCAGCCATGAGCACAGTAAATGCTCAGTTTTCAACTACTTGGCTATTTTTTAAAAAAGTAGCGCACGTGCATGCTAAGTCTCTTTTTATATTTGAATTAATGTTGATCATGAGCACTTCTGTTTTGATTCACTGGAAGCAGGCATATATAGTTGTCTTTCTTGAGACATGAATGGCTTTATTCCCTCTCACCCCCACCTTACCTTCTACCGTGGCTCAGTGGTTAGCGCTGCTGCCTCACAGTGCCAGGGATTCGAGAGCGATTTCACCCTCGGTCGACTGTCTGTGTGGAGTTTGCACGTTCTGCCCGTGTCTGTGTGGGTACCCTCCAGGTGCTGCAGTTACCTCCCACAGTCCAGAGAGGTGCATGTTAGGTGGATTGGCCATGGGGAAATGCAGGGTTATAGGGATATTGTAGGCAGGTGGGTCTGGGTGGGATGCCGTTTGGAGGGCCATTGTAGACTCGATGGGCCGAATGGTCTGTTTCAATACTGTAGAGACTCTATGATTCTATTCTAAGAATGGTGACTTACTCTTAAGATATTACCAAAGGCAAGAAAAAACCTATTTAATTGCACCATGATGAAAACTCGGGGGAAGTAGTGGCGTAATGCTAATGTTACTGAACTAGCGATCCAGAGATCCAGGCTAAGGGAAAGGGATTCAGTGGTGGAATTTAAACTTAACTCAAATGGTAAATAGTTACTGTGTATAGTGCTGGCTGTGAAATTGATCATTTGTAGTAAAAACATACCGGGGGTTCAAGAAATCTACCGTCCTTACCCAGTCTGGTCTCTGTGACTCCTGACCCAGAGCAGTTAACTTTTAATTGATCCCCTGACCTAACAAGTTACTCAGTTCAAGGGCAATTAGGGATGGGAAGTAAATGCTGGTCTTGTCAGCGAAACCCGCATCTGATAAAATAATTTTTAAAAAGTAACAATTATTTATTGATTCTTGTTCCTAAAAGTTAAGCTTTCATGGTCCAAATGGCCGTTTCTTGCCCATGGCTTCTCTTTGACTGCCACAGTTAGGTCTAAATAATGAACTTCAGACTGTGTGGTGGAGGAGCGAGAGTTGGGGGCTGTACGGATACAAGGCAGACCTCCGTGATCCTGATTTGATGTAGCACTTTTCAAAAAAAAAAAAAAACTTGCATTTACCTCGTGCATCTGGCACTTTCATCTATCCCAAGTTCCCCATGTTTCCTTAAAACTTCCTATTGAAGAAAGTAAGTAGAGGTTCCTATGTTCCTTTTAATGGTGATGTGGGACCTAGCCTGCTTTTACCTTTATATGTGTCGTGATAGGTATAAGGGATGTGATCTTGGGAAAAAAACAAAGTTGAGGGAGCATTTAGGGCTGGTGATGGCGTAGTGGTCATGTCACTGGACTAGTCATCCAGAGTCACAAGATCATGTTCTGAGGACGAGGGTTCAAATCCCACCATGGCAGGATGAATTTGAATTCGATGTTTAAAAAAACAAAAGTAAAAGTAAGAAGAAATGGTCTTTATGTAACCGCTGTTGGTTGCTGTTTAAAAATCCATTTGGCTTAAGAATATCTGCCTGTAATCTGTTATCCTTAGCTGGTCCGGTCTGTTCCAGACTCAGAGCAACATGTAACTGACTGTGAATTGCCCTCTGGACAATAAGTGCTGGCCTAGCCAGTGACAGCCAGATCTCATGATCAAATTAAAAAGAAACCCTTTGTCGGGCTGAAGATGCCAAAAGTGCATAACTGTTCCACTGGTGAACAGTGGCACCCGCTCAACTTGAGTGAAATAAAAATTAAAGTGTGCTTTATCGCCTGCGTTTTTGGCAGCAAACTCTCTCAGAGCTACAGAAGAAGAAGGAAACCTGGGAAGCACAGGTTGAGTCACTGAAGGCAATAAAGGAAGCAGCAGAGAAGCCTGAGCAGGAAGCAAAAGAAGTTCATAAGAAAGCATGGGATGGTAATTTATCTCATTTTTATTTAGTTCTTATTGACTTCCTAACATGAATGCAATTAAGAAAACTTTATAAATCGTAGATTAAATGCCTAAAACTAGAGGGGCATGCTTTTAAGGTGAGGAGATAAAGTTCAAAGGAGATAAGCAAGTTTTTTTACACCTTACCTTTGTAAAAGTATCAATAATTGAAGCCATTGTGACGATACTGCAGCTTTAAGAGGTGTATTTTGTCCTGTTTTTAATCTAAAGAGAGGTTTTAAGGCAGAGGCACCAAGCAGTCTACCAAAACCACTCAAGTAAACAGCTTGTGAGGCCTTGGGATTTTTTACAAAAAGATTGGAACAATAGAAGCAGCCTGAATTGGTGGAGTCGAGTTCTCGCAGAATCAGGATATTTAGTTTTTTTGGCAGCAGTTGTGGCTGGGGTCTCAGCAGGGTTGGAAGGCAGTGAATCTCTCCCATTGCTATGCTGAGTTTTCTCTGGATGGTTTTCCTCCTGGGCTACTGGTGTTGCATGTGAGACAATCTGTTTTCCGAATTTGCCTTTTGCCAAGGGTGTGTTTATAGGATGTCAGTATATCGGGACAGTTACTGTTTAGTGGTAAAATAATCTATTAATCTGTTAAGTTTTCCGGTAGAGTTAAGTCATTTCAAGCTCCTGTTTCTTTTGTTTAACATTAGTGTTTGAATAAATTGTGTTTCGCTTAGTGTCAAGTAGTTAGACCAATTGAATTGCATCTGGAACACAGCACGTCACATTTACCCTTAAAATAGGAAAAGGTCAGGGTCTAGGATACTATCTTAATATATTGAGAGGGTCTGACCTGGTCTAGAACACTATTAAGAAATCCAGCCTAGATGTTTTCACATGATTGAATTTAAATAAAGTAGGTACCAGAGTAGGCCATTCGGTCCTTTGAGCCTGCTCTGCCATTCAATATGATCATGACTGCTCCTCTGTTTCAAAATCAAATCCCTGTTTTCACACCATACCCTTTGATACCTTGAACATCTAAAAGTCTAATCAATTTCTTTCTTGAATACGTTCAGTGACTTGGCCTCCCCAGCCTCCGTTGGTAGAGAACTCCATAGGTTGTCAACCAACTGAGTGAAGGCACGTTTCCTCATCTCAGAATTTAATGTTTAATTTGTTTCTAATTATTTTGTGCTGGTATTCATCCTCGCTGGATATTTTTATTTGTTCATGGACATGGATGTTGCTGGCTAGACCAGCATCCCTGATTGAGTTGACAGTGTGATGGTGAGCTGTCTTCTTAAGCTGCTGCAGTGGTATCGAATCACCCATAATGCTGTTTGAGAGGGACTTCCAGGATTTTGACCCGGCAGCACTGAAGGAACAGCAATATACGGTAAAAACAGAAAGAACTGGGAATGCAAGGAATCAGAAACAATAACAGAAATTGCTGGAAAAGCTCAGCAGGTCTGGCAGCATCTGTAGAGAGAAGTCAGAGTTAATGTTTCAGGTTGAGTGACCCTTCCTCAGAACAGTACATGGTGTTTGGCTTTAAGGAGAACTTGCAGGAGGTGGTGCTCCCATGTATCTGCTACCCTTGGCCTTCGAGACTGTAGTGATTGTGGGTTTGTAAGGTGCTGTTGATGGAGCCTTAATGAGCATTTGCCGTGCTGTTGTTGGTGGTACACACACTACTGCCGCTGTCAGTGGTGAAGAAAGTAAATATTGAATGAAGTGTCAGTGAAGCAGGTTGCTTTGCCCTGGAAGGTATTGAGCTTCTTGAGAGTTGCTGGAGCTGCACCCATCCAGGGAAATGGGAAGTGTTCTGTTACGCTTCTGACTTGGACAGGCTTTGGCGTGTCAGGTGATGAGTCACACAGTTCCCAGCACGTGACCTGCTACAGCATTTCCATGGTCGGTGAAGTTCAGGTTCTGGTCAATGGTAAACTTCAGGCTGTTGATACCTCGGAATTCAGCTAGGTCATTCAACATTGTCTGTCAAGGGGCAATGGTTAGATGTTCTGTTGTTGGAGAAGGGTGCTGCAGGTCAGTTGAGTGATGTGACTTTTAATTGCCACTTGTCAGCCCAAGCCTAAATCTTGTCCAGGTCTTGCTGGCTTTGTCGTTGGTTTGCACAAAAAATATCTGCGCAGAAATAGTTGTTGTCTTGGCTGTGAAACTTATCGTTAATTATTTGCAAGATTCTTTCCTGCTCTAGTTCAGCACCACGTGCTTTGAGTAAACATTGGGCACGTAGTGGAGTGCACGAGGTGTCACACTTTATTGATGGCTTGTACATTTGATTAGTGTAACTAGCTTTCGTTTCGGGTTCAATGTTTTGAGCCTTCTGTTGAAAACTATGTTCCTCTCTGCACCATATTTTTGCCTGCATTAAAGGTGCACGTTACAGATAAGACTCATGGTTTATCTGTTCCTGATGCTTTGAAAACAATTTGTCCGCGTAAATAGTTGTAGTTGTTGCTTTGGAGAAATTACTCCAATCCTGTTTCATGTTCTTGAATCCCTTGAAGTGCTGGGTTTATTAACCGCTACCTTTCTACATTCCGGTTAATAGTTCCCTCTGCCGAAGTTTATTGCCGCTTACTAAAATCTTGTCTCCATCGCCCAAGGTCGATACTTTTCCTGTCACTTGTTTCCTTGCAAAGTGTTTACACCACAGATGGACCATTCTGTCAGCAGCTGCACAAGCCTCATTCCTTGCTTCATCTCCCCCATCAAGATAACCGTCTCTTCATTTCTCCGTCGTTGTCATGGACAACCCTGAGACATCAGAAGTGAAAGTCAAGCTGTACTTCTCCTGTATTGAGTCAGAACTAATTTTGTTTATGCCAGGAAGCCGTTTATTCCAAAATGAAAGTGCTTGCGTCACCTCCACTGTTGGTCCTTGAGAAGGTTGTCATCACTGGCTCTTTGAGGGAAATTAGGGATGGACAATAAACACTGGCCCATATTAAACTCCGCAGAATGTCCCAACATCAATCTCTATTTCAAACAAAAACAGAAATAGCTGGAGAAATTCAGCAGGTCTGGCAGCATTGGTGGAGAGAAATAAGAGATAATGTTTCAAGTTCAGTGACCCTTATCGAGCTCTCTCTATTGGGTTATCTTCTTCCCAGTTTCTTCCTTCCTTGTGTGAAAGACTTGAATGATTTCTGAGGCACGTTCCATCGTCACCTTGCTCAAGTTATTGACGCAAGTGTATTGCCAACCCGTTCAACAATGGAGGGTCGAGGTTAATCCCAATTCTTTGTGAACAATCCCCATTCTCTTGGTCGCAGTTGTTGAGTGGCACTGAAGAATGAACGTTTCTGCCTGTGCTTAGTTGTTGCAACTCAACTAATGTTGTCCCATGTCGTCATCCAATTAAGCCTAGACTAAGGATTGAACCTGTGACTTCCTAGGTTTTATACCATTGTTATTCCTTGGATATGTTCACTGAGCAACTGCAGAAGCTATCAGCTGAATTTACTTACCAGATACAGTATGTCTCATGTCTAGCCACATGGTGGTGCTAAACCCCAGTGTTTGTGAATTTAACATATATATTACTTCTCAAATATTATCTTCCATTTTTATATCAGCGATAAAAGTCAGTGAATTTGTGAACTTGGTTAGCAGCTGATGTGTGTCTATCTTCACAGGATATATAGCAAATAAGTTAATTTCAGTTACATAAGCTTGTGGCTGACTGCTTATCTTTCAAGCTGGTGTTCAGCTCTGTCCTGTTATCTGTGCGTGTTAGGTGCAAATGCCTTCTGCAGTCTTATAGATAAAACCTGCTTGGGGACGGTTTTCCAAAGTACATCAACAAACACACAACAACAAAATGTTCTCCCCCATTTAATTTTAAAAAAAATGTAAAAAGTGCACACGTTAGCAAAGTGTCTTAGTTTGCTTGTGAGTAGGATACTGGGTGGAGATGGAGGATTCCTATATTTGACTTCTCCCCAGGCTTGTAACTTGGTGACCCTGCAATCTTTAGCAGGTTGACTGAGTTGGGGGGGGAAGGGGAACGTGCTCAGAATGGCGAATTGTGGGTTTTGGCTGCAACCCTTGAATGTCAGGGGATAATTGTGGAAGTGTCTTCTGTGCTCACATGGTTGGGTAATGGTTAAAAGGCCATCTTATTGCCAAGTGAGGAAATGAGACTGGATTGCTTAATGGAGAGAAGTCAGAGAATTGATGGGTAGAATGGCCTGATTCTGCTATTTTTGACTCTTGATGTTTTCAGATTGTGAGCCAAAAGGAGAATAAAAGGGAAAGTAGTCTGAGGGCCTTAATCTGGCTCACATTGAGCAAATGATGATGTTAACATACATATGTCAGACGTATTGCCATTTATATAGCCACAAATTAGAAATGTTGGTATGGTGAACCCCTTGATTTTGTACAATATTTGAAAATGCCTTGGGAGGATTTGGAGAGAGATTGGGACTTAATCTCGAATGTGTGAATCAATGTTTTTCTTGCGATGTCTCACTTTTTCTGCCCTTCTCTATGTCATCCTTTTTCTCCCCTCTGTTTTTCTCCTGTATGAGGCTCTCTTCCTCTGTTCTTCTCCCCTCCGCACCGCATTTTCCTCTTTGCTTTTATATTGCTGTATATTTGCGGTTTCTCAGTTGATCGTACCACAGTTGTCGAGCTCGTTTTCAAACAGCTAGCCATTCCTTGCTGTTAAGAGCAGCTCTGATATTCTTGTAACCATGACTGAGAAGGGATATCGCTTGGTTGGCAAAGTGCGTTCTACAGCTTTGCAGTGACAAGTTACTGCTGTTTAGTCTTTGTTATGAAAGACCTTTACAAAACTGAGCGACTGATTTCCATTTGCATTAGTGCAAGCGTGTCTGGAAATCACTGTCACTGGTGAGAGGTTCTTTTTTTCGCTCATCAAATATTTAAAAAAAAAAATCTCCAATCCTTGTGTGCCACTAGTGCTCTGGAAAATGAAGAGGAGCTTGCCAGCTAATAAGTAATTCATGCGAGCAAATTATTATTAAACTTGTGTGAACCGTCACTCCAGTGTGCAGGGGAGAATAGGATTCAGTATACCGTGGTTTAACATGTCTCTGCAGAGCACATTAAACAAATACCTGACCAAACAGCATTGTAATTGAGGGCGGTGTGGTGTTTTAACAACAACTTAAAAATGTATTTATGTAGCAGCTTAATATGACGAAACATCTCAAGGCACTTCGCAGGAACATTGTGAAAGAAAATGTGCCATGTTCGCGTTTCAGCTGGCATCCTCCGATGCAGAAGCAGAGGAAACGCAGTTCTAAAGTCAGCAGCTAAAAAGCAAGATTCCAAAAATGGCCTTCACCTCCTCTTCTCTTCACCCCCATCCCTCCCAACAACCCCAATCTGTGTGGTCCTTTGTCGTACTTTCCAATTCAATGTTGTCGCTTTTTTTTGTAGTAACCACAGCTGTTGCTGTGCTACATGTCCTTGATGTCAGAGTGTACGGTAAAGAGTATCAATGCCTTCTGATGTCGACAAAAGATTCTTAGTTAGGATTATTCTATGATGGCATGAGATTTATTGTACTCCATATTATGACACAATATTTCCTAGCAACAAATGATTAAGAAAATGTGGCAGAAAACAAAAAGCAGCTTCTACCTTAAAAACACATCAGTAGAATAGAAATAATCTTGACTCTTGTATGGTAGCTTGCTTTCATTTTTGTGAGGCTTGGCCACATTGTACATTTGCACAAGGTGGTTCTCAATATTCTTTTCTTTTCGCAGAGGTCCAAACTGCACGTAAAGCGGAGAAGGAGAAAGCTAAGGCTGCTGAAACATTCAAGGAGCTGGATGACAATGAGGATGGCTTGTGAGTGTGTCAGCTTGTGTTCTAGCTGACTTTTTTTTATATTGAAGTACATTAGCCACCCCTGTGGCAGTGGTTTACTGATCTGCTTCCCAGCTTTCCTGAGGTTTCGGCACATTGATTCAAGTGGCAGTGTTGTTTACTCCTGCTTAGCATTCACAAACTTCCAGCAAACTCACCACTCAAAGCTGTCTGGGACTACACCATTTTCGTTTCAACTCTCTCAGAATCACTCAGCTTTATGAGCATGGTTTTGAAACATGGTCTATTTGTTAACAGAGATCTTTTCCACCCTTATGTTTGTATAAATTGCAAATGGTTCAACTCCTTGCTTGTCTTCATAGAATCCCTACAGTGTGGAAGCAAGCCATTCGGCCTGTCGAGTCCACACTGACGTACAACGAGCATCCCAGCCAGACCTGTCCTATCCCTGTAATCCTTCATTTCCTATGGCTAATCTGCCTAACCTACACATCCTGGACACTGCAGGACAATTTAGCATGGCCAATCCACCTAATCTGCATATCTTTGGACTGTCGGAGGAAACCCAATGCACCCGGAGGAAACCTAGGCAGACACGGGGAGAATGTGCAAACTCCACGTAGACAGTCGCCTGAGAGTGGAATTGAACGCTGGTGCTGTGGGGCACCAGCGCTAAGCATGGAGTTACTGTGCCATCCCTAGTGTTGCATTTCTGTATCTGTGGTTGTGTTTTCTTTTGGTTATTTGTTTACGGGATGTGGGTGTCACTGTCATGGCCAGCACTTATTGCCTGGGTGGCAAAAGGTTTGTGATGTTGGGGATTTCTGGGAGTTTGATCCCGGGCTAGTGGTGGAGCAGTGATGATTTTCTTTTACCAAATTAGAATGGTGTGTGATGCTGAGGGGGATTCACTGCTGGTGGTGTTTCAGTGGGTTTGCTGCTTTTGTCTGCCGAGGTAGTAGAGATTGTGGGTTTGGGAGCTGGTGTTGCTGATGTGAAGTGTTCTGGATCGAAGAGCAAAAAAGTCCAATAGTGTATTTCACCAAATCGTAAGTGCATAGAGTCCTAGAGATATCCAGCACGGAAACAAACCCTCTGGTCTGACTTGTCCATGCTGATCAGATATTCTAAATTAATCTAGTCCCGTTTGCCAGCATTTGGCCCATATCCCTCTAAACCCTTCCTATTCCTATATCCATCCAAATGCCTTTTAAATTGTACCAGTCTCCGCCACTTCCTCTGACAGCACCTTCCATTTACGCACCATGCTCTGCATGAAAATGTTGCTCTATCAGTCTTTCTTTTTAAAAATCTTTCCCCTCACCTTTTTTCTTTTGTCTGTGTTCCAACTGAGCTGCTGCTTGGATCGGGAATCACATGCTGCGGCCTTCCAACAAAACATACCAGCGGATTCTTTGAGCACTGGTTTCCTTCCATAAAGAAAAGGAGTAAGTTAATGGAATTTCTCTCTTCCTGTTTCAGTGTTTCAGTAAACGAAATTCAGACTCATGCAGAGTTGGACAGCGACGGAGATGGTGTGGTGTCTGAGCAAGAAGCTGAGGTACAGCAGAATTTGTGTTTGTGACGTTACTACAGCTTAAAACTCTCATGTTAATGCTATTGTTCCTCGGTTGGGCTCCAGAAAGAGGTTGAAGGGGATGGATCTGGAGCACATTAGAAGTCCGTTATAATGTAGATGTTGGAGTGAAGCTGTATTATAACTGGAGATCATTTATATGGAAGGGCTTACTTTTTAATGAGACTCTCTGCATCATAAGTGCATTTGTGGTGCAATGAATCTTGTTATAGCAGACTTCCCATGTGTATGCTGCTTCAGTTGGTGGTACCCACCGTTTCCGAATATCCCTTCCATTTGGAGATTCGTCCTATTCTCCTGACTTTGTCCACCCCAGTCCAATACTGGCACCGCTACAACTTAAAACTTAACATTTTAACCACCATTGTAAGATTGGCAAAAGTAACAACTCAGAAAGAACAGTTAGTCTGACTTTTGTTTGAGGAAATTGGCGGCTCCAAGTAAGACTTGTGTCTCCTGCCACTAGAATTGCTGCTATGTTTTGGACGGCTTTTTTTATTTGACCACCACCTTACTCCTACATTCTTCCACAACTGCCCCGTTTTTCCTTCTCTGACTTCTCGTTCTGCCGCACATTCTTTATCATGTTATGCACTCTCATTGTCTTCCACCTTCCCTGTTCACGCACTGCATTAGCTGGTGTAAGCTCTGCACCCAGGCTGGTCTGCAGCAGCCGTGTAACAAACAAAGGTGAGACCTGCAGGACCGGCTGGTAACAAGTGGCTTGCCGGGATTTGGCAGACAGATTCCTCTGCGAGCTGAATTTAATTTCTCCCCTTTCAAGCCATGTCTGCTCGAGTGACCATATACGTTTTTAATGCTGTGCACTGAAAGGTAGAATTGGAGAATTGTGACAAACTTCAGGGATGCCTTTCACTCTCTGGGATATCCCTGGAGAGTTGGAGGGATCCAAGATTTTCAAATTATAGCCACGATATGCCCTAGCTTTGTTCCTGGGAAAATTAAACCAGTACGGGAGATGCTGACGGGGATGAAATGTTAAAATATCTTGCTATATAGTAGCTGAAGAAAAAAGCATCTTTTTTTTTCCTTACAGAGTTTGCTGGGAGGTCTCAGTCAGGTTGATCTTAGCACCTTCCAAGAGTCAATCTGGGCAGGTATTCAGGACAAGTACAAGTCTGAGGTTGGTGCAACTCATGCTCTGCTTATAACTATCTAGTGGGTTGAATTTGTTGAGTATGTTGTGCATGTGTTAAGCTTTCTTGTTTGGATCCATCTCTCTCGATGCTGTTTGCTCCAGGTCCTTTGCTCGACTGGCTGTTCGACAACTAGGAATCTAGCTGGTCAGAGTTGGGAAGCAGTTTGGATATGCAGGGCTTTGTCACCAAGCTGTTTTTGTTCCCTTTTAGCTTTAAGGACATGTTGGAGTTGCAGGGAGTAGCGATTTTCTTTTTCCTTGTGTGGGTACTGAGACCAGTTGCGCTGCCAAGGCTTTGATCAGCAAACCCAGAGCGTCAATTTCAGAATGTCCTGATCGTGCAGCTTTATCCCAAACTGGCAGGTGTCCCTCCCTGCATGCTATCAGAGGAATTCTTGCTCAGGCTACGACGATATGTCTGCTGTTTAAACGTTTTGTCGGGATTTTGCTGAATCGAAGCCCTGTTCGTTCAGCCTGTCTCTTCCTTTGCTCTGCCAGGCAGTGATTGAAAGCCCAACACCCCCTGATATCCCTGTGAAGGAGGGGACAGACAGCTATCCAAAATCTCACCAGGAAGAACTGACCAAGGATGACCATGATGAGGAGGATGATGGTGGTGGTGAGGACCGCGATGATGACGACGATGACGATGACGAGGGTGATGACGAGGAGGAAGATGATGGAGGTGAAGAAGATTATAAGGTAATGAAAGAAAAGCGAGGTAGTTGGTTTGCCCAGAGGGATTCGAACACATCGGATGTGTTGAATGCATTTGGGAATGTCGCACAGTGTGCGAGGCCAGAAACAGTGGAGGATAGCTGTTCTTTGTGTGAGATAATGGTCCAGCTACAGTTTACCGCATATCACTGGCATTTAAGAGCTGCACACTCACACTTTTTCAATCAGCTAGCACTAACTGTAACCATGGCAGCTGCCTCGCAATGACTGCCCTGAAGCATTCTGACTTCTTGACAGTGGGAAAAGAAACACCTCTTTGGCACCGCGCAGCAGATCCAGAAAAAGAAAATTGCATTTTCTCCTTCACTCTTGTCAGCTAAACGGCAGCTCCCACAAACAGAAAATGATTCAGCACAGCAAGGAGGTTATGCTGCCTATCAGGCTTGCACAAGCTCTTTGAAAGAGCCATCCAATCACTTCTGCCTGTTTCTGACCCCGTAATCTGGAAATTACCTTCCTTTTCAAACTTGCTGCTGTATATAAAAACAAGCCATCATGTCTCCAGTTCTTTGACCAAGCACCGTAATGTATTCTCTGATCACTGATGCTTCCTCCGCTCCAGATTTACTAGCTCAAAACTGTTCATGATTTTGAACACCTCCATCAAGTATCTTCATTGTCCTCCCCACTGCAAGGCAAACAGTCCCACCTTCTCTTTTTCCCTCATTCAAGTAAAATAAAATTTGGCAGTGTGCTGCATAAGGCAATGTTAGGTCAACTAACCATAGTTATTCAAGTATATTTTAAGGAGTATCTTAAAGGAGGAAAATTGTGTGAAGAGTTTTGGGGAGGGACTTGGGTTCCCAGGCAGCTGGAGGGCACCAGTGGTGGAGTGGTTAAATCTGGGTATGCTCAAGATTCCAGAATTGGAGGATTGCAGACATCTTGAGAACTTCTGGGCCAAATTGCAGGGACTGGAGAGTGTGTCTGTGTGGTGGGGTGGGGTTCGTGCCTAATTGGAGTTTTTTTTCAGAAGCTTCAGGAGAACTGTCTTGCTTTTGGGATCACGTATTACAGTTCACCTGGGAAGCTAACATTTAATAGTTGGTACTTTGACAGGAGGCTTTCAAATGTCTGTATGTAAGCACAGAATCATAGAAAATAGGAGCAGAATTAGGCCACTTGGCCCATTGAACCTGCTGTACCATTCAGTATGATCATGGCTGATCAGTCCCCTGTTCCTGCTTTTGCCCCATATCCTTTGATCCCTTTAACCCTAAGATCTATATAAATAGTCATAGAGCTGTACAGCACGGAAACAGACCCTTCGGTCCAACTCATCCATGCTGACCAGATATTCTAAATTAATCTAGCCCCGTTTGCCAGCATTTGGCCCATATCTGTCCAAACCCTTCTATTTATCTCCCACTTGGAAACATTCAGTGTTTTGGCCTCAGCTGCTTTCCGAGTCAGCAAATTCTACAGGCTCACCACTCTCTGGGTAAAGAAATTTCTCCTCATCTCGGTCCTGAGTGGCCAATCTCGTATCCTGGTTCTAGACTCCCCAGTCATTGGGAACATCCTCTCTGCATTTATCCTGTCTAATCCTGTTAGAATTTTGTAGGTTTCTATGAGATTTGCCCCCTCATTCTTCAAACTCCAGTGAATATTGTCCTAACCAATTTGTCCCATTCCAATGTCAAACTATGGACCACACTACCCTCACTAATTCATCAAAAGGACTCAGTTGAATCAGTTGAACACGATTTGTTTTCAATAAATCAGTGCTAACTTTCAATTCCTGGCCCATGACTTTTAAAATTTCAGGTTAGGGTCCCCGTGGTGAAGTGGTACCAACCCTATCCCCGGCCCAGGTCCACACCCTGACTGCTGCAGAGGTGCGTCATAACATTTCTGAATTGGTTGATTAAAAATATGTACAAATTCTGATGAATTTTGTCCCATATCATCGTTTGTGCACACCCCCTTCCATTAACATTAGGCTGATTTATTCAGTAATTGTGAGTGTATTCTTCGTTCTTGTTTAAACCATGCTGTAGCATTTATGTTCCTTGGGCAATCTGGTGTCACTCGCAGATCGAATTGAGTTGGCCAATATAAGCAACTTAATGTGTCCTGAACTCCTGCAGTTTCTATTTCGTTCAGTCATTCACAGAAAGTGTTGCCCATTCCTAACTGACTTTGAGAAGATGGTGAGCTGCCATCTGAAACTAGTGCCACCTATCTCGTGTAGGGATACCCATGGTACTGTTAGGGATGGTATTCCAGTTTGTTTTTTTTTTTGGCATTGTGTGTGACTGAGAGAGGAAATTGCAGGTGGCGCTGTCCCCATATACCTGTTGTCCTTGTCCCTCTGGTACAAGGTGGAAGGTACTGTTGATGGAGCCATAGTGTGTTACTGCAGTGGGTCTGCAGATGAAATGTACTGGAGCACCCAGAGGAAACCCATGCAGACACGGGAAGAGCATGCAAATGCCACACAGATAGTCACGTGAGGGAATCAAATCTGGGTCCCTGGCACTGTGTGGCAGCAGTGCTAACCGCTGAGCTGCCTCATTCGGGTTTGCATTGTTTCTGTTTTAAATTTTGGTGTTTTGGGGAAACTCCGCAGCGACTGACAAAGCTGATCAATCTGAGCATTTACTTATCTACTATCGTACCCAGCTGTGTGAGGTGAGTGATGGAGTGGGTTCTCCCTTATAAATCTCAATCCCCTAAGCAGCTAATTCATTGTGATATTGTTAACAGTTGAGTATGAATTGAAAAACCACTTTTGAATTCACTCCCAGTCAGTAATTCGGTTTTATATAATAACTCATAGGAATGCCTAAGGGTGTTCCTTTAAAAAGAGAAAAAAAAGTATTAGCATTAGCCACTTGGATATCCATGGGATTTTTCAGCATACTGGTTTTGCCAATTAAAAATGGAGCATGCCTTATGAAAATAGAAGTAGCTTTTCTTCATTTTGGTCAACCCTGAGTGTGATTCCACACGGTTATATTTATTGAATTTGAGGCAGCTTTGAGGGCTTTCCATCATGTATTGTTTGCAGTTGTCACAATATTTTGTTTCCATCCTTGCCATGTACCAAGATCTTCTCTTTTCCCTGACTCCTGAAGACCAGATTTTTGTAACTGCATTTGCTGAAGTTGCTCTTGCCAGTCACTTGTGGTGCAGCGAACTGACCCGATTTGTGGTGTGTACGTGTGGGCGTACGCGTTCTGTTCAGTGTAGCTCAAGTCTGTTCCCAGCTGAAGACCGCAAGTGTGCTTCCAGCAAAGATACTGAGCATAAGTAATAAGACATAAGATATAGGAGCAGAGTTGTGCTATTTGCCCCATCGAGTCTGCACTGCCATTGATATGTTTTTCAACCCCATTCTCCTGCCTTCTCTCTGTACCCCTTAATCACCTTACTAATCAAGGTCTCTGTCTTAAATATACTCAATGACGTAACCTCCACAGCCCTCAGTGGCAGTTAGTTCCACAGATTCACAATCCTTTGACAAAAGAGATTCCTCCTCAGCTCAGTCCTAAACGATCATCCCTTTCGTCTGAGGCTATGCCCTTGGGTCCGAGTCACTCCTACTAGTGGAAGCATCTTTTGCACGTCCACTCTATCAAGGCCTCTTGGTGTTCTGAAAATTTCAATCAGATTCCCACTCCTCCTACCATCCTTCTCAACTCCATCGAGTACAGACCGAGTCCTCATATGACAAGCCCTTCATTCCCTGAATCATTCTTGTAAACCTCCTCTGGACCCTCTCCAGTGACAGCACAGCCTCCCTTTCATTCAGGGCCTGAAACTGCTCACCATATTCCAAATGCAGTTTCACCAGAGCACTTTGTATGGTTTAGTGGTAAACTGTTGGTGTTATAAAGTGGACCATCAAAATAGCATTAATTGTGTTCATGTAGCTTAACAACAAATCTGACCAATCATCCGTTTGTTTTATTTTGAGGTCATTTTAAGTACTTATGCATTCACTCCTTTTACGATTGACATTATTTTAACTGTAGATCTTGCATTCATGTCTGAGCTCAATGTGTACAGCGACATTCAAGGGTGTTGGATGATTATTTGCATAGAAACTGCGTGCAAAAGTATAGGGACAAAGCTGGAGATTGGCACTAGGTTATGACACTTGTTTGAGGAGCTAGTGCAGGCTTTTTTTAAACACTAACAGTTCTGTGATTCTGTGAAATGAAAACGTAGATTTAAGGTAAGGGACAGGAGTTTTAGAGGAGATGTGGAATTTTTGTTTGAGTCAAAACGTGGTGGGAATCTGGAACTCACTGCCTGTAAGGGTGGTAGAGGCAGAAATCCTCATCACATTGAAGACCTCATCACATTGAAGAAGTATTTAGACATACGCTTGCAATGCCAAAACATACAAAGTTATGGGCCTGGAAAATGGATTTGAATAGTGAGGTGGCTGTTGATGGGAACAGGTCAATGGGCCAAAGGGTCTTTTTCTGCGCTGCAGGCCTCAAGACTTAAATGCCCTTTGGCTGGGTTGAGTGTGTCCATCATGGATCTTGTTTGTCATCGCCAACAAGTGTTGCAAAAACACAGCAGTGAAAATGTTGGCTTCTTTGATTAAATAGCCTGCTCTGACTTGTATCGAACAAGAGCGAGATAGTGACAGATGTCAGAACTATGTTGACACCTTCAGAACTTGGGGAGCAAAATTAGGGGGAAGAAAAATTTTTGTTTAACAAGAGCACAGATGTGATGGGCTTAAATATTTCTGCGCCTCAACTTTTCTGTGGTAAAAGTAGCAATGGCACAATTAATTTTGTTATGCACTGTGACTTCCAGCCCACTTGTTTTAGTTCTGTTGAATCTGTGATTGAATTCTCCCGTATAAATGCTTTGCAACAAAATATGGTGAAGTGGAGGGAGCCTGTTTGATTTCTGTGCATCCCATTTGAGGGGGGAAAATGTATTTCAGTCAAATAATCAGGATCTCGTGCTGCTTTTTAATTAAAAATTCTCACTGCTATCGTTAATTAATTTGCACACATGTGTGTTTTTGGAAGGTGCTGACCATAGTGCTAAGTTTATACTTTTCACTATTAATTTTCAGTGGCAACATTTCCAGTTTCTGCTGAGTTAATCAGTGCAGTGAATAATTGAGCCTTGCAGACCTTTTAAGGCCAGAAATTTGATTTCTTTTTTCTTGAGGTGGCTGTTTGTAGCCGGCGTACTGGTGAGAAAGAACATTACTATGATCTCTAATGCTGGACTTTTGATTTCTTTCTTTTCTAATTTCTTTTCCCCTAAGAATTTGTACTTGAGAATCTGTACCTAGGTACCTAAAACAACACCGTAAGTGATGACTTGTAAACTCTGCACTGTGCTCATTTGCATACGTGACAATAAAGCTAATTCTAACAATTCTAAGGTCATCTGAGTTAGTTATTAATGTGTTTTTTTTTCAATGAAATCGCATTGGGTACATGTGCCAGGTTAATACAGTCTCCGATATGAGCCCATGCTCAGTTTATTCAACAATTACGTTAAATGCATCATCTGATTTTGTTGACGTAATTCCGAGTATTTTTTTGCAAACCTACTGCATCTTGTTTTGAATGGTTAATTTACCTTCTGTTTAAAATGGATCTGTTGCTGGACTTCCTAATTGTTGTGTGATGTAACTAGAGTTCTTAATGGGGTGCACATCAGTCTCTGGTATATTGCTGGCCAATCTCTGGGCTCCAAAGACTGGCTAAGTTCAAAACCTAGGCTATGTTTAACATTATCTGTTGGTTAGTCCGCCTAATGAGCCTTCTCTTTGTAGGACCAACAATCTTCATATTTCTCGGAAAAGCATGATGCAGATGATGAGAAAATGCCACCGTATGATGAAGAAACACAGGCTCTGATTAATGGTATGTTTTTATTCTGTGAATCCTGTCTCGGATTAAACAGACAACTGTAAGTTTTCTGGAGGTTAATGTTTATTTGTGTTTATTCTCTCTCCTTTGTTTCTTTCATGCCTCCCCTGACCCCCGACCATGAAAGCAATGTTTGCGCTCTGCAGCAAAGTGGGTATCTCTCCATTTTGTTCAGGTTTCAGACTTCTTCACCTGTACCTGAAGATCGTGTTGCCGTGCTTGTGAAAAAGTATATGTCACTTCCCCTCATTCCTCCATTCCACGAATTGACCTTGCATTAAAGTGTAGAAAGAGCTACTAATTTCAGAGCCTTGGTCCTGAACACAGCTGGCCTTGGGACTTCAATCTAACAAATGTTTGGTGAGGAACCCTTCTCTTTATGCCCATTCCTGTTCTGCTTTCTTGCACTATGTGCTTTTTGTTGGTTCTACAGCCCTTGGTGATCTTTGTGCTCCTTGAATTCTGTATTCTTGGACAGTCCAATTTTTCCTTCATTCATTTCTGAATAGTCACCCTGAATGGACCGTCCTGTTTTCTTCCCCAAGCCTGCTCCACTGCGGACAAATAGCAGCGAGCCTTTCTACGTCCTGGCAGAGTCCAATCCCCCTCAATGTAGGGACCAAATCTGGGACTGTTCCCTCTCTGTATTTGGAAGGGCCCCATTTACTCTTGTAATATCAGACTAGCAATATGGAGTTAAAGCGGCTAAGTTGGACGTCCATATTATAAAAATTACCTTGGACAGCTTGAAAATGGATTGTTAGGTACAATATATGGATGGTACATTTCCATGTTTGCCAGAATAAAGATGTACATACAAATATTAATATTACAGATTCATAGAATGACAAAACATTAATTGTATGCAAGGAATTAATGCTTGTCTGTTTAAAAGTGTAATCTCGGTAATCAGTCGTGGCGAAGAAAGAAACTTGTCAGAAGTAAGTGAAAGTGAATAGATGGAATAACAAAGAACTGGAGTGCAAATGCATTGTAGATTAGGACAGTGGAGATAGAAGGTGGCCATTCAGTACAAAACAATTTGCACTTATTGTTTCAATGGTGGTTTCAGCTCTTCTACATTTTGTGCTATGTAAAAATAATGAGTAGACCATTTGGCCTTTTTTAAGTCTGCACTCAACTAGGTCCAGTCTGATCTTCTGCTTCAATCCCATCTTCCTACATTATCCCCTGTATCTCTGAGTATCTGAAGAATCTTTCAACCTCTGCCCCAAAACATGCTCAATACTGAGCGTCCACAGCTTCTCTAAAGTTTCAAAGACTCTCAACTCTGCGTGCAAAGATATTTCTCCTCATCTCAATCCTAAGTGAGAAACTCATCATTCTAGGTCTGTGATCTAGAGTTCGCAGCAGTGGGGGGAATCATATTTCTCTGTGCCAAGACAAGATTTTTGTGCTTCAGTGAGAATCACCTTTCGTTCTTCGAAGCTTCTGTGCTTTGGGACATAGTAAATTTTCCCTCCTTTCTCTCTTGCTGTCCCCTGTTGTGAAATAGTTGCATAACTAATAGCAGCTTTATAATAACCTTTTTAAAAAAGTCTGTTACAAGCCTATCCAACTATTAACAGCGACATCATAGCTGAGCCCCACCTACCCTTACTGGAATTTCACATGCACGTCGATTCATTGTGCTGCACTTCTCTACTCCTCTCCTGGTACTGAGGCCAATGTTAAGTGCCCCCAACTCACTCAGCAGAGTGATTAGACATTGCTTTTACTGGCTGAGCAATTGGGATAACATTTTGACTTTTTGTTTTGAGATTTAAAAACAGTTTGGTTTACATAGAAGTGAAAACAGTTTTTTTTTAAAAGCAAAAAAAAAGTTCCCCTTTGGGTAGCTACAGTCACACCAGCAATTTAGATGAGACCGACAATTCATCAAAGTGTCGTTTTCCATGGGGGCTTGTCCCTGCAATTATCGAATCAAAACACCAAGGTGATACCCTGCAAGATCACCACTGGGGCATGCAAGTTGTCTACATGTTTTAGTTTCACCTGTGATTGGTGGCCAGGAGAAGAAGAGCGAGCAGGTGCATCGCTGCTTTATTTACAGCTCTCTCTGCTCTTTGCAATTTGCAGGTGTGTCGCCATTTAATTCATATGGGTGTCTCATATTTGTTTACACAATTGAGATGTAAAATGGGACCAGAATTGCTGCAAGTTGAGACCTGTTGACCAGAATAAAACCTGAACCTGAACCTGAAGTAGACCGCCCTCTCCTGCAATTAAGCTGCTTTTCGGTGAAGGAAGTGCTGGATAGTCACGAGCGTGTGTTTTGTTTGTCCTCCGTGCTGCCTCATATTCCTCATCCCCAAAAGCCACAATACACATGTGTTGCAAGTGTCACCATTTGGCTTTCATGAATTCTGCAATAATAGAGGCAAATAGAGTTTGGAAGCACTTTGTTTGCTACACACAAATGTACACATTGTGCAAATGATCAAGGATAAAAAGGAGGGAAGTTTGAGAAGTCTGAAATTATATGCATTCCTCAATGCACAGGAGAGTTCAAATACTCATTGACTCGCTTAACATTTCCTGTTTGGATCTCAAACACTATTTTCCGAGCAAGTGCACTTTACCGTTCTCTCAAATGCTTTTGTCGTTGTACTCAGCTGAGGCCATGGTGAAGTGACATCATTTCCAAGAACGTGAATTGGCCATGAACTAGAGAACAACATACCAGATTTTTAAACCTAAGTTTCAAGTCCATACTAAAACCAGAAATTGCTGGAAATACGCAGTAGCTGTGGCAGTGTCTGGAGAAGGAAACAGAGCGATTATTTCAGCCTGGTGATCCTTTGTTGGAAGTTCTGACTGAATTGGCTGAGAGGAGACCATATTTTTGCAGATTTATTCGATCTAAAACATTGATTCCTGAAGATGACCCTTATAACTTTGTTTTTCTCTACACAGATCCTGACACTTTTTAGCCTTTTCTAGTTTAGATTTCTAGTGCCGGGAGAAATCTGCTTTTGTCCAGATTTTGTCATTCATTTGAAACCAAGATGCTGCTTACTGGTGAATGCTTTTTAAGTTTTGAGCATCAAATCGCTGTCCAAATTTGTCAGCCATGACTCATTGAATGGCAGAGCAGACTTGATGGGCTGATTGGCCTACTTCTGTTCCTACATCTTACGGTCTGATGCTGATAGGGGGAGAAAGCAGGAAAATGGAATTGAGGGTGATTAGATTAATCCACAATCTCATTAATTGGCATTACAGACTCGAAGGGCTGAATGGCCCACTCTGCTCCTATCTTTTTATGATCTTTTTATTTTCTGTGTTACAATTCTGGGGAGGCGTTGGCCTAGTGGTATTATCGCTGGACTGTTAATCCCGAGACCCCGATTAACGTTCTAGGGACTTGGGCTCGAATCCCACCATGGCATATGGTGGAGTTTGAATTCAATAGAAATCTGGAGTTAAGAATCTAATGATGACCGTTAATCCATTGTTGATTGTTGGAAAACCCATCTGGCTCACTAATGTTCTTTAGGGAAGGAAACTGCCATCCTTATCTGGTATGGCCTACGTGTGACTCCAGACCCACAGCAATGTGGTTGACTCCTAACTGCCCTCTGGACAATTAGGGATGGGCAATAAATGCTGGCCTAGCCAGCGATGCCCTCATCCTGTGAATGAATAAAAAAAGTTCCAGACCTGACTACCCAATCTGTGGAAAGCTGTGTCAAAGGTCAGTAGCTTTTTTCTTAAGTAGACACAGGATAAGATCCAAGGGACAGACTTAGAGAATAAAGCCACTATGTTGAACAAACAACAATAAACATTACTGTGCAACATTAGAACAGTAATACAATCTGCAGTCCATGTACAGCTTGTATTTTAACATCCAGCATTAACATATAGTAAACACAGATAATGGACTGTGAATGAACGCTCCATAGCACACATCGAATAGCAAATGTAATCCGGATCAATACAATGGATTTCTCAGCAATTCCAGTGCCACACCCCCAGTCATTATTGACAAGACAGATCATCAAATTTCATTAAATCTCACAAAGGATCACAATTCTTTGTTTTTTTGCCTATCTGGCCTTGAAATGACCATCCATAAGCCACTCCGGGAGGTCTACATCAACAACTACTCCCATTCTGGTTGATCACTTGCCTTTCCTGGGTTATTCCAAAAACATTCCAGTAGTCTCAGGTATAACACCAGCTCTTTGCCAACAGCTGGCCTCGCTATACCCTTGATTTTTCCTGAATTTAAATCTGGCTTAATTGCGCAAATCAAATACGGCTTGTGGATTTAATCCCATCCCACTTGCAGCTGTAATAAGCTATTTGTGGTACACAGTGTCTACTGTGCTGCCAGAGAGCTTTCCTTAAGCCCTGACTCCCAACGCCTAGCTGCTTCCTGAGTTTTCACACTTGTGCCATGCGATTGCTATTGAAATCCGAGTTCTCAGCTGCACAGACACGCATTGTCTGCGTGAGATTCCTGCTCCTTGGTAAATCTGGCCCGATGTGTCTGTATGTAGGTGGTTTGGAACCCATCACTGGGTCAAATACAACTGGAGTTTGCGAGCACTGTGGCTCAGTCATGGATTGTTGGCATGGAAAGGAATGGAATTGGTGGCAGGGGACAGAATTTATGGTGAGGGTGAACCACAATGTCTTGGGTCTTCCCAATGTTTGTGGTTGGAGAAATTCTATTAGCTCGCTACCAGATGTGGACAAGTGATCTAACAACTTAGAAATGATGAATAAGCGTATTATAACAATTGAGGATCTTGTGGCACATTGGTAGTATCTTGCCTGAGTTAGAAGGTCCAAGTTCATGTCCCACCTCCAGAAGTGCATCATAACATCTCAAACAGTTTGTATTAAACATAAGATAATTATAGAGATCTTCTTGTAGTGTGGCGAAGCAGTCAAAGGTGCTGTATTCAGGTTCCTGTCTCTTTGGCCACTTGGGTTTGAATCCTTCTCCTGTCAATTGTGTT